TACTATATATGTGTGTGTGTGTGTGTGTGTGTGTGTGTGTGTGTGTGTGTGTGTGTGTGTGTGTGTGTGTGTGTGTGTGTGTGTGTGTGTGTGTAATTATTACTAATAAATTAATAATAATATTACTAATAATTTCTTAGAAAAGTAATTTTCTGTGTTTTAATTTGAATAAATATCTCTTTGACAAACTGTGATTGATGTATCATAAAACAAATATGCCACATAAATATATTTTATATTTAAAATTTTTTATAGTATTTAAATAACTTTATTAAAATGTTAGTCACATATGTCGCATTAATTTCAATAAAATTAATATTTTCTTAAAAAAATATTCAATTCTGCATTCTTATCTTAGATATGATGACGTCTCCGATTTATATTTAAAGAAAGATACAATTCTAAACGCTCTCAATCTATTATCGAGAGCATTAAATCTGGGATACTATTTTCGCATAAAAAAAATCACGGGAACCACTTTACATCCTGCGCACGATATCCTTGTCGATCGGAACCACCCCCGAAATTACTACATTTTATTTCCGACTACGAACGTCTCGGCATTCACATACCTTTACGGTCAGCATGTCGCCGTTTCCAGTAGAGCACGACACGTATTAAACGCGTAGGTAAAACTAGAGTGCAAAGGCAAAGATTGAATTATATACACGTTGCGTGGCGTGGCGTGGCGTGCGTATTAACGTTGGCCAATCGGCGTTCCCTTTCGACCGAGCCCGTTTTATTCCTCCGTCTAGGATTTTATTGGAGCGCGGGCGAGGATATCGTCGGGCCCACCTTGGGGCACCTTAACCTTGGAGCACCGCAGCAACCTCTCACATCGACGCGCTGACTCCTATTCTGTGTACCAAGGACCGATTCCCTCGTCGGGCACCGTTTTCTCTTTGTGCCCCGCTCGATTTTAACGAGGCTGACGCACGTCCTCGCTAAATGATGACGATGTCCTTTTAGATTGGACGCGGTTAAATTAATAAATAGGAAGGACGTAAAAATTACCGATAATAGCCCGCTCAAGTTCTACTCGCGAGAATTGTCATGAAAATCATTCGCGGAAGATCGTGAAAGTCAGTGTAACATTTATGGAATAAGTTAAATCATCGTCTTACTTCAAAGGCTGTAAAAAAGCTATAATATAAAAATATAAATGTATATAGTATAAATGAATTAAAGAAAATAAAAAAATGTATTTTATAATACATTTGTCAAAAAAGTTTTTATATATTATATAAAACGTGTTTAAAGTTTAAAATTAATTGCGCGTATCTAATTAGTCACGCGTATAACGTAAATTGATTATCCTTTTTGTGTGAGGGTATTCATCGGGAAAGCATCTGATTATCTAATAAAATACGTTTATTATTATGACATAATGCACTTTTATAACGGACTCTTAGTGATGTCTACTCAACGAGAGAAAATATCTCTTGGAAAGTATCTTATTAGAGGCGAGAGAATACGTCGCGCCAAACAGTGTAATTTGACTCGTTGTAACGTTTTTATTATTACCGATGATCGCGTAGAAACCATTCAAAAAAACGCACATTGTGCGAAATAATTGAGCAGCGTCACTTAAATGCGATTCTGTAAGCAGATTGCGTTAATAAGTCATTTCGAATGCCAAGAAATACAATGTCTTAATACAATTAAATTTACTGTTTTTTATTCGTGTATTCGTCATTCGAATTGACGTCATTTGTTGTTTCTACAACTCGGATATGCATCGCGAAAAAAAGAAGCTCGAGCTAGAAATCTTGAACTATATCCGCACATAAATTATCTGACAATGACAGATTACTCATGACAGATAGATGCATTCGTCACGCCTGCTTGAACAACTGATACCTCTTTCCTAATTGTGGTCATCAGTGAGACTATCTTTCCTTTCCGGTACAGAATTCCGTTATTGTAAGACGAAATAGAATATTCCTTCTTTTTGTTATACTAATTGCTCGTACATGTCACTCGTGGTTAAAAATAAAACTACGTGTCTCAGACTTCATCTTTATCGAAAGATAAGATAATTATATATCTGTACTGAAAGTAGTTCAGAATATTGCAAAAATTACAGAAATATGAATGAAAAAATATTTCTTTAAGAAAAACTTAATTATCTTTTTTTAATAATCACAACATCTTTTTAAAAATAATTAATGTCTTCCTGTAAATTAATTAAGGACTAAAAATCTGTATAATAATGGAATGAATGTGTTGTAAAAATTCTTTCAGGCTTTTGTAAAAAATAATAAAATTATAATGGAAAATAATATTCATCTCATTTTGTTTTAAATATTTTATGTACTTATATGCGCGATTGTGCAATGAGATACGACGGTAAACCATAAAACGTAATAATTATTCAAATGCATTGTGACTTTATTGCATTATGCGTAATTATTTCGAGTTTCTCCTGTTAATTGATTGCTATTAATAAATAATAGCGTAATTATTAATAATTATTAATAAAAATTGCTTATTAATTTGCACGAAAAAATTATTGCGATCATACGACGAAAAATAGATCAAGGGTATCCGCTCCTCGAAGATGCTTTGCGATTACGTAACAAGGTTAATAATCCAGTACTCACGAATCACAATGATTGTTATGACGATAAATATCGCTGACAAAGTATCGCGGTTACAAAAGAGAAAGCAGACAAAAAAATATTAATTTAATAAAAATCGCGCTTAATCATCCAATAACCATTGAATTATGCATAATTAATACTAATTTTAATGATCAATTAAAGATTTCTAACGAGAGAAAACTATCTTGTTTAATAAGTTCTTAATATATTATTAAAAGGTGCGATAAAAAATTAAGAAATATCTGAATATATAATAAATTATATAAATAAAATATTTTTGTAAATTTATTTTATGTAAAGATAAAATAAGTATCGCAAACTACTATGGAAAAGATTTTGAGAAATTAATTTTCTTTCTCTCCTGTTTTGCATAAAATATTGCGTATTGTGATTAAATTGTCTTAACAAAATTTGTCGAAACAAAATTTTGTAACAGTATCATTTTGTAACAATGTCTACGTTTATATTATCATATAATCGATTCTGTATTTTTCGTGGGAAAGATTTTAATGCTCGAATCAGCATAAAATTCGCGAAAGCAAATGAGTTGTTTTACTAGTCGGATCAAAAAAGATAGCGATTATTGCCGCCGCATTGTAAATCCGTGAGCAAGCAGAAAATTTCAACTCTTAACGAGGTTTCTTTTTGTTGTCCCAAGCGACAGGAGATACAATTTCTCCGATGTTTCGCACGATTTGTTCGCGCGCGCGTGGGCCGCGCACAGTTATGCTGACGAAAAAAAAACGGATACGGCGACGCTTTCGAGTGAGGCATTATGCAATTCCTCTGTAACGTTTATTTATAACAAAAGTATCTTAGACTATGTACAGCAACGTAATTAAAGATCGGAAGAAACTATTACAACACCTGAATCGCGTTTAATCATCCGCGTCTAAAATACGCTTTCTCTAAAACAAAAATTAATTAAAATATGCTACAACTACTATAAACCATTAAAAATATCGTGCGTACTGAAGTAATCTTAAGTATAAGTATTCGAAATTATTTTTGCGTCTCTTTTTGTACAAGTGTTTCAAAGTTTAGAATGTTTTTTTAAATTCAAAAATATTTTTCTAAATAAGCAGATTTTTATAAAATATATTTGTAATAATTCTCAATTTCTTGAAGAAACGCGATTAAATTTACCTATATATTTATGACAAAATAAAAAGAATGTAAAATTAATTATAAATTTGAAAGCCAATATAAATAAATTTTTTATAATTATCTAAAATAATTTTAAATTTATCGTAGTAATAAGAAATGTGTTGTTGTAATTAGATAAAAAATACATCGGCTATAATTATTTACGCTCTACGTAGTAATATAACCTGCGTTCTGGATCTTTTATAAACTTGGCTTGTAACAACAGTCTCGGTTTCTTTGTTACATCTTCCTCTTCGTCCTTTTCATTTGCTTTTTTACTATTATTTTGCTCTTTCCAATTTTCGATTTCTCTATTCGATTCCTTTTCAGTCCATTCGTAGGATCGATTTTTTCCTTGATTTGGTGGAATATTCTGCATCAGGTTGCGTACTGCGTAGATCTGAAACCACACAATTTCATGAATAAACTATAAATGAGTCATATCAGACGCATAATTATATTTATACACATTCGTATTAATTTTAATTGAAGTCATTACATACTTAATTTATGAGTACATTATAACTTGCGATGTTACTTTACGTGTAAGAAACATTTAATAAGTGATACTTACATTATATACTTCTACAGATTATAGATTATAGATGATGAGTTAATATTCCGTACTTAAATTTAAGTTTCTAAGATTCTAATATACTTGACATTGTATTGCTATTCTTGATGACTATTTCTTGAGTCTTATCTATTCTTAAATTTTAATTTTTAATGTTAATATTATTATTATCTCACAAAAGGAATTTTGTCCGAAAAATAAAAGAGAAAGAAATCCGTGCCTTAATAATCGTAATTCTTTGAAATCCAAGAAGCCATAGAGGACATTGTGTGTCTAGAGCCATATTCGGTCAGTTGAGTTGTCCTGTAGTGCGGTGATAAACTTACTTCTGACGATCCAAAGCTAGCGTTGTGATTATCATCGTTAACAATCCCGTCGTAAGCGCCAAAATTATTGATCTCCTTAATTTCCTCTTTTCCCATACTCAAACGGCTGAAAGCTTTATTTTCGTTGTTTTCTTCAGGTTTATTTAATATCACCGATTTTTTAATTTCATCTTCATTGATAGACTTAGCTTCTTCTTTCGTATTCTCTTGCTTTATTGATTCTTTTTTATTATCATCCTGTCTAATATTATTTTTTTTACGTCTCGATTTGATTTTTAATTTTGTTGGTTCTTCTTGAGCGGACGTCAGATTCGTTTTCATAAAATCAATGTTTTCTATATCGTTTGGATAAGTGGTCTTTGTAGAAATCTTCTCCTTCGAGACTCTTGATCGATGCTCGATTGTTCTTGTTTTCGGAGTCGAAGTTTCTATTTGAAAATTGTCAGCTTTAATTGTTTCTGGCGTAACAATTATTTTAGCTGTTGGAATTGTTTCAAAAGAAGCCGAACTATTTATTTTCTCGTCTTTCTTTGATTTGTTTCGATTCGGTATGGAAATTGATTTTCTCGTACCGAAGTCAAAGCTCGTCGTAGGCGTAGTTGTCATCGTTGATAAGGTTACAGGTCTCCTACGTTTTTTTTTCGTAGGCTTAGTAACTGACTCGGCAGGTGCATTAGCAGAAGAAATCGTAGAATTATTCTTTGATATTTTTCGTCGACGCTTTTTACGTTGTTCAGTTGCAGGAGGAATTTCCTTTGTTTTATTGAGTAATTGACTCGGTTGGCTACTTGTTACTTCTATCGGTAGCGCTGACTCATCTAGATTACTTTTATTTAATTTTAGATATTCTACGGGCTCTTCTTCTTCATGTTCATTAAAAAGATCTACTTGTTTTAGCTTTTTTGAATCAAAGTGTGAATTATTCGACACGTTTTTATCAATTTGAGGAGTTTTTTCTCTTGTATTCTTTCTTCTCGGCGGCTGCGTAATGTCTTCGGGTATGAGCATTCCACTGGAGAGTCCTCTGTTTGAGGAAAGTGATGTTTTTTGCGCGAAAGAAGAAGAATGATCTTCAAGCTCAGAGCGATCTTTCAAAACTTGCTCTTTGGATTCATTATCTTCCTCTAGCAATTTTTTGATGGATCTACTGATTTCACGTGCGTTATACGTTGGTCTGGTTGTAGAACTGTATCTGCTGCTAAATTTCGTGAATGGCACGTATTCGGAGCTAGAGTTTTCGCTATCATCTACATGTCTTCGCGAAACATCGCGTCTAGTATTTATTCTAGTATAAGGTTTAGAAGGAACGTCGTATTTCTCCCAAGGATAAATGAGTCTTTCGCGTCTCGTAGATTCTTCCTCGTCTTTATCATCGAAAAATCTGATTGGCTTTCGTTTTCTTCGTCGTTCTCTTGCCAGCCTTTCTCTCCTCTCCCAGGGATATTCATATCTATCGAATTCATGCAGCCATTTGTGTTTGTCTTTTGTATTTTCTTTATCGGCATGCCAAGGAAATACGTAATCTTCATTCTTTTCCTCGCTTTCTTCGTCCTCACTTTCCTTTTTAAATTTTGATTTGTATCTTGAAAATGGGAATGGACGGAATGTCGTTTTCTCAAATTGTTCATTATTACTATCGCTTCCAATTAATGATGGCCGCGGATATTTAAAAAATGTGTGATCCTTATGCGATTCTTCCTCTTCTTTGGAATTATCGTTCTTTGTGGATAATTCTGCTTTTATCGGTGTTTCGACCTGTTCTTCTGTCTTTTCGGAAGAATCATTATCCCATGAACTTTCCACATTTTCAGTCTCTTCGTCCTGCTTCTCTTCGCTGTCCTCAGATTCGTGATCTGTGTGTGTAGATTTACTCGAAGGCGTTGTTGCTTCCTCGGAAAACGTTTCCTCGTATCCTGGTGGCTCAGATTCCAAATATTTTTGCAAGTCCAGAACTTCCTTCGAGCTTTGAGGATTCTTCGATCTCGCTGTTGTGGAATCATGCTCGTTAATATTCTCACGAACCTGATATGTGTTAGTCATACTTTCATCTTCTTCTTCCTCTTCCTCGAAGAAACTTTCTTTAGATTCTTTATCAATAACCTCGGTCTTCTCAAGTTCTGGATGTTCATCCTTCTTATGGTAAATCATTTGTTGTATGGATTCTTCTGCGTGATAAACCTCGGTTGTGCTACTTTCTCTATCTTCTATTAATAACGTTGTACTTTCGATTCCTGAAGTGTTCTCGGTTGAATTCATTATCGTAGAATTGTTCTGCTGATCATCGATCACTGGTTTCTTCTTTCTTTTGATGTGATTGTACCGTGGCTCCTTTCGCCTGCTGTCTTCGTCCGTCGTATTCAAGCTCGCGCTAAACTTTCCGAATCCTCTAGTGTCCCACTTGGGCTTTGAGTATCTAATTCGATCTTTAATTGTATAAACGACTTTCTGAGGTTCAATCCTTTGATTGCTATTCGTAGGATTTCTTCGTCTCTTCTTATCTTCAATCTTCAGGGTCGTAGACAAGCCTTGATCTTGTGTAAGAATTTGTCTGCTTTCTTCGATCTTCAAATCTAATGGTTCGGATGTCATGTTTGTTTTTTTTATCTCTTCTTCTACTGATTTTACATTAGTGTCATTTCTAACAGTTTCTGTAGATCTATTAACTGTAGCCTCTGTAAATCCATTGGCTTCATTAATTATACTGTCAGAAGAATTCTTCGTGATATCATTTGCGCTGCGTTTATTTATCTTGATAGTATGATGATGAGCGATGATTCGAGGAAGATTCGGAGATCTTATTATAGACACTCTGTTCTTAGCTGGCGGTCTATATTTTCTGTAATCCGTTTGTATTGAATACTTTGGAGGGGGTACCAATCCTTTAATCTCCGATGATCTCGTATTATTCGTAATTTCAGTAACATCCGACTTCGACGTACTTTTTTCTTCCGAAGAGCTCGACGTATCGTTCGCAATCTTTAACATGTTTTCGCTACTTGCGGTTGCCAAGATTTGCGTGGACGGTGGCAAGGTCGTCATTTCATGGACCTGATAGGCGTTCTTCATGTTTCTAATGTTACCCATCACGTCCTCGTATACCTGATTCTGGTAAGAGGCGGTTTGGTACAACTTCGGCGATGACGCGGTGGTGCTGGAAACTTTCGGTTTCAATCTTCGATTTTTAACTCTGCGTATCATATTGGAAGGCCTCGAACCGCGCACAGTATGGAAATACGCGTTCCTTCCTCTTCCGGTTTGTGGATCGTGCTTGTAATTAACGCGTATCGATTCGTGAGTCTCGTACGGATGATTTCTATATCGCCATTGGCGATTGGTGCGCTCCGGCTTCTTCGACACTCGAGGCACAACGTATTCATCATTCTCTTCCGGAAGCACCATGATCTTCGATGCAAACTGCGTGGGATTTAATTCCATTGGCGGAGTCGGTTCTTCGACCAGCTTCTCGGCGAACAACGGATTGTCCAGGGGATTTTCATCAAAATACTTGGCCTTGAAGCAATCCAGTTTGTTCCCGAGACCACGAAGACGAGGTAAATTCTCCTGCGGACCTCGTTCGGGATCAGGTTCCTCTTTTTCGGGCAACACTTTGTCCAGATTAGGTTCTATCTCGTCGCACTGCTTATAAGCATTTCGCGATTCATAAAATTCCATTCCGCGTGAGGTTTTTCGCGGTATTATCTTAGGATTCACGACATATTTCAACGCGGACGCACTAGGTACGTCCTCGTTGTTGTAAAAAGGATATTTTTTAAATCTATAGTGGCTTCCGTTGTCGTAGAAGGCTTTACAGAATCATCTTCAACAAGTTCTTCGACGGGATCAAAATCGGGAACTTCAACTTCGACTTTCCCATTTTTCTTCGATGAAGTCTCGTCATCCTTCTCGTTAAAACGTAAAGCGATCTCTTCATCGATAACATCACCGCTAATTTTAGGAGATTCGTTTAATAGCTCTTCGTGTTTTTTACCTTTTTTCTGTTTTTCAAATTTCTTATTAAATATTCATTTCTGATATCTCTTTTCTTCTTCGCTAATTCTTCAACATTTTTTGCTGATTCTGTGTTATTTGTCCGTTTTGCCGATTGGATCAGTATTGGTATTTCCTTCGTTAAATTTATGATTATCGATTCTTTTGCTTCTTCGACATTTTTACTTTTACTGTTAACAACAGTATTATTTTCATTAACCAGAATTTTGGACATTTCACTTTGCTCTCCTTTCGGTCTCGCGAATGTTGCATCTGAAACATCGATCAATGCATCGATTACTCTCCGACTCAACAATTTTCCTTTCGATCTATCCATTAGCCTATCAAACGAACCTTTATTTTGCTGCTCCAATTTAACCTCATTCGTCACACCATTGTTTGCCGCTGCTTTCACATCTGCATCACCACCGCAAAATTTACTTTTATCGGATCTTTTTCTCCGGAATCGCGATTTCTGGCTCGCTTCGTGAATCAACGGGAAATATTTAAACGCATTATCACGTGTTTTCCGCTGTTGCGGAAACGGTTTGATATCGAGATGAGAATTATGATTATCGTTCTGCTTATTGCTACGATAATTGGCGTAAGTACTTGCCGCCGATAATGGAGGAGGCGATAATTTTGTGGCCGGAAATGAATTCTTGTGATAGACCGGACGTACCGGCTGAACGTGAGCAAAAGACTCGAAACGGAACGGCAATTTAACTGGTTGAGGATGATGTTGATTCTGCAGTAAGTTTCTCCAGTTAGTTTCCCGAGACGAGTCACTTTCGGCAGACACAGTCGAACGATTCACCGGTGAAGAATGATCTGTCAAGAAGATCGAATAAACTGTTGGTTGAATCTGCGGCCTTCTCGGGGTGAGACCTTCAGGAAAAACAACCTTCTTTTTTGTCTGAGATTCTTGCTTGTTTTTAATGTAATTCAGCATCTTATTATACTTCGCGTTCCGATCATCGTGAATCTTCTTGTGCTCATTTTCCTTTTCGAAGGTGGATGATGAAACTTTTTGATGAGGCGACTTATGAATAACAGATTTAGCAGGTTTTTTCTCATGAGACGGCTTTGCTCTTGCCAGAACTCTGTACTTGAGCTTATTTCTAATAAGAGCAATGTTGCTATTGTCGAGAATAGGACCGAGGAAAGGATTCTCGTGGTAGTCGGCTATTCGCGTGTAGGCTTCTTGAGTGAAATTGAGTGTCATGACAGCCGGAGTACTGGATACTGTAGTGTCAAGAAGACTAGTCGTAGATGAGTACGCCGCGTCTTGAGGACTTGATAATGGCTGCACGCCGGTGACCGTTGCAACTGTGGTGGATGTGGTTATTATATTATTGACATAGTCGGTACCGTCGCTTTGTCCAAGTAGATAATGACTGTGCGCTTGAGGCGAGCTCGGGCCGAGATCTTCTTCGTGATCAGAGAATAAATTTTGCGGATGAAAGCTGCGCGGATCGAGAAATGTTGAGGGCGACGTCATGGTCTTCTTCTTTGTCACTAAGAGATACGGACCGTGACCATCAATGGTCGCAACCGCGATCGGCGTTTGCGTTTCCAGTTGCGGATTCATGGTCGTCGAGTCTGGTACGAGCGTGGACGATTCGGTGGTCGATGGACCTTGTCTCGCCTTGAAATAATCCCAAAAGAGATGACTGTAACTCACCGTCGTCGGCTCGTCGACTTGTTGGAACGAAGCTGTAACCGGAGCGACGTAACGTAGAGTCGTCTGATCAATTGAATATATCGGCGAGTCCGGGAAATTTGCTACAAATCCATGATGACTTAATGGCGTTTCATCATCAGGCAAATTTGCTCTTTCGGATGGAAACATTGTTGTCTCAGGATGGACTTTCTTTTGTTCCAATTTACGCGGATGCTTCGCTTTTTTACTTGCAGTATTGTTTTTCCTATTTTGTAATTTGGATTTCTTTTTATGTTAATGGGCTTATTCTCGTGTTTCAAATTATTCTTAACATGAGATTTTTCCAATTCCGAGCTATCAAACTTGATGTCATTGCGAATTTTTGATTCTTGCGCATTTTGATACATTTCCGAACTTTTCTCGGTTTCTTCAGCATTTTTCTCTATATCTTCTTCGAGTTTATGAATATTAAACTCAGCAACGAATTTAGGATCTATCTCGGACTCCTCCCAGCTATTCCTGTCGTATCCTACCAAATTATCTTCTTCATCCGTTTCCTCAAACTTCCTATTTTCCTGCAAATGATCTCGATAATCTTCCTCGTGTTCTTCAAATTCATCGGGTATCAAATTTCTACTCTTTCCTCTTTTTTTCTTGTCATATCCATTCTTCTTTTGGTTGTGAAGCTTGCGAGCAAATCCCTCGTGGAAATCGGCGTCTCTAATGTGTCCCCCGTGATCGTATGCCGAATCCTCATATCCCTCCTCGGTATAGACCGTGTTGACCTTTGTGTTAGTAACAACTTCTCTTAATCTGGGTGCATTGCGTCTCTCCTCGTCCGTCTCCGCACTCTCGTACGCCTCATGCTGTGGCAATCTCTTCACAGTGTGAACTCCTCGAACTTGAGCGTGCAACTTCGTCGGTACGAAGTCCAAGGGAATATTTTTCTCAGGTGGCGGTTTTGCCCAAATTCCAGGACCGACATATCTTGGTTTTGTAGGCACGTTTTTGGCTTCCTCATGTTCTGAGTATGGTATTGCGTGGTCTTCAGGAGGCTCTTCAGGATCATCATCTTCCTTGGTGTATTCGGTATATTGATAAGGTGGCCGTGCGTATCGACTCAGAACATTTGTTTCCGAAGAATCAAGTATTTCTTTCACTTGTACACTCGTTGAGTCTGGCAAATAAGTTGTGGAATCTTGATCAATTGATGTCGTGGTATTTAAAGGCTGCAACCAAGCGAGTTTGGTAACTTTATCTCCATCATTGGTGGAATCGATATCGATTGTTGTAGTAAATGTAGCATGAAGATTCTGATTTGATGACACCGTTTGAATGATGGCGACCAGAACAAAAATGATGAAAAAATTATCAGTTTCTCGTGGTTGCTTCATTTCTCTGAATTGTTTCTTACTTTATAACACTATCAAAATGAAGAAATATTGTTTAGTGTACGGCTAACAATAACCATTAGACAATAAAATTACACTTTTCAATACACACATCTTATCACAATTATGCTGAATATTAATATTTAACATTAAAATATGAAAAAAATACATTTACAAATTTATAATGTTCGAGAGAAAGAATGTACGAATTATATTATAGTAATCACGAATTATATTAATTTAAAATTGAGTAAAACGATACAACCTATCGAATTGCTTTTTAAATATAATAACAAATTATGATTCAGATTTTTCGCAGTGATGGAAGAAGACACTATTATATTGCTCGACTTTCGGAAAATGCGAATTTTATCGATAATAGGTGACGCTTATAAATTTGCGTTGGTCACGGTAAAAGAGAGAAATTCGCGATTTACGTGTGAGCCACCGAAGTGATTTCTAATCATCTTCGATCGAGGCCTTTCGTCAAACTGGCCGGTGGTACGGGCTGTGTGGCCTAATTTATATTTTCCAACCATCTGAAAGGCGAGGTAGGGTGAAAAACGTTGGAACGACCCTGCTCCACGGAGCGTGCAGATCCGATCGTTCAACGATTCTGTCACTCTCGATTGGATTCGTTCACCAGGCCGTTTCACCCAGACGCCTCTCTTTTCCGGTTCGCGTATTAGAAACTCCGATGTATAACTCCACAACATCCTAATTAAGATGCACTCGTACCCTTAATTCTACGAGATCACGAGCGTCTCGTAAAAAAACGCGCTGAAGGAGGAGCGCGTCGTTAATCGAGCAAAATGCGCTGCTATTAACGCGAAGTAGAAGGACGAGGGAGAACGAAGAGGTGCGAGGATACGAAGATGCACCATGAGAATATCCAGCAAGACGAGCACGTAGCATAACGCGATTTATTTCACTCAGTCAGCTGTGAACCGTTCGTTTCGCCGACTACGCTTCGCTCGACTCGACACGGGGATTGTCTCCCGCGTCTTTCCGCGTTGGGCCGCGAAGCGTGTCGCTCGAGCTACGGGACTTTCCTCGCTTCGACGAGTCCGCGAGAAGATTACCATAAAATGTAATTTTCATTTTCAGAGCAGCTACGAGCATACTTAAAGAGATAGGAGAATTTTGCTAGATGAAACAAACATACTTTCGATATGAATTGTATAAACATATGATGAACTTGAGTTTAAGAAGAACGGATTAAACTACCATTTTAAAATAAACTATGAAATTCTTTCTTATTATTTTTAACAATTAAAAATATATATCCTGTCTTATATAATCTTTGATTTAATTTGTGATTATTTTATTTACTAAATATAAAATAATTATTTACTAAATATAAATATTTAAAAAGAAGGGTTCTTTTAAAATTTTTTAGATAATATTTTTTAAATGTATTATTAAACTATATTAAAATAATTATTAAAAATTATTATTTTAAATAAACTTTTGCGGAGTCGTGTGTTTAGACGATTTAGTATTAGAGTTAATCATAAACTTAATGACTGTGAATTTTATGATTGCAAAATCGAGTCGACTTTTAGTAAACAATATTATTTCATCATCAATCTTTAGTTTTGATGATGAAATACAATGCCTTTTACGAAGACAAAGACGAAGACATGATTTTATGGACATTGTTATATTTGTCTACGTAACGTGTGTTTGACTATTCTAATAAAACTGTTTTAGTACCTTTAAAATATTTTCCTGTCATTTACAGTTTATTATATGTTCTATGGTACGCTATATATTGTTATTTCTGTGTGATGAATGACCCAATCTTAAAAAAAGGACCTAAGGAATTTGATGGTGGTCTATTTTTCGCTGCTAATCGAATATCTTGCTTTACTTACTTCGCATACACATATATACATGTCAAAGTATAATAAAATAGTTATTAAAATTTTATATTTATTCGTTACGATTTACTACAAATTTTGCAACACAATCTCTTTGCAATAATTGCAATAATTATGCTTCTAATAGCTACTTTTTTGAATAACATGTATTAGTATAATAATAAAAGTAAAAAATATTTACATTTACAGTTTTCTTTATGAGAAAGAAAATTCATATTAATTCTTTAATATTCTTTAATATTATTTCTTTAAACAAATTAGTTTCTTGAACTTTCAAAATATTTCATGGTTAATATAAATTTAATATAAATTTAATATAACTTTAATATAATAAAATATAAGAAAATTTACATTAATATAATAAAAAAAACTTATATAATGTTAGACAAATAAGTTTTTTGGATTTTAGAATAGATTAATAAAAATTGTTCAATAAAACAGATTTCATCCTTTCCTATTTCTACTTTGTTAGTGTGCACCTTCTAAAGAAATTTTTTACAAAATACAGCTATGAGAAATTTAGCTTTCTCCATTTATACGGAGACACGGTTGGGCTACATCTCTTTTATTTTTCATAAAATAAAAATCCCGATATCCACGATTCACTAGGAAAAATCCAATATCTAATTACTCTAGCACGAAAATGAGCTATAGGAAAGAAAAAGTTTCGGATTTCCAATATACAAAGTATAAAACTTCATTCACAAATTATTGATCGGAGTTACGGCAAGTAAACTGCGATCGTGCACATTTTAGGCTAATAGCAATAAGTCTCGCTTGTATATCATAAATAAAATTTCAAACACTTTCTCTTGCCGAAAGTACATTACAATTGAATCTACTTAAATCACACAATTAAATAGGTATCAAGATAAAAAAAAATTCTAAAAATACTTTATTGATAATATGAAACACAATCATATATCGTAAATTCCTTAAGTATAATTTATAAATAATTTATAGAGAGAGGTAACAATTATAAATATAAATATCAGAAAACAAACATGTAGTAGAAAGAAACAAACCGATTATTGCATCTACTCACTTTTTGGTTATAATATTCTAACATTAACAATTTTTACTATTTTATTATTATTATATAACAAATCCTTTATGGAATATTTGAATAAAAATTTATCGCCACTTGTTACGTTTTTATATGACGTTTTTATATTATTATAATTAAATGATAAAATAAAACTAATTAGATAAAGTATTTATTTAAGTTTTTATAACAATACGAAATGTTTTGCGATAAAACCTCTAAATATTAAATTAGATATAAGCTAGTCTTTATTTGTAATTTTAATTAATTTTTAAATTTTTCTCTCTTTTGTGTTGAACTCAATTTAGAACACGCGATGGCATGTTTATTATTTACGTGCCTTTGAGACTCTTTTGAGTCGAGTCTTACATTATTCTCTCACGATCCTAGAGATTAATGTAAAAAACGCGAAACTCGCGAAATAATGATTTGGAATCTTCATTAAAATAGGATGTCAGGTACTGTAAAGGAAGAACTATGATCTAAGATATCATCGGCTTCCATGCGCTATTGTCGCTTTGAACCGGTGCCGGCTGGGTGGCGAGTTGCGGCTCCGCGGATTGCAACATCGCAGCCTCCGGCTTGAAAAAATCTATGATTGGGTGATAGTTATAGTTGATTCTCCTCTGCGGCTCCTGGTATTCCTCGTCGAAGCCTCCGTTTTGTAGTCTCGACGTAGCATCCATATTCTGGTCATACGGCTGACTGTATCTAAAAAATGAGATACAGCTTCGAATTAATATTAAAAATTAATTTTATTAATAAACTTTTACCATAAAATTAACTCAGACTTCTAAGTTTTTTTTATTACAGTTTCCTAAAGATTAGTTTAAGCTTTTAAAATTAATTTTTAATCTTAAATCCTAAAAGAAAAATTGACAATTTCTTATCAAATCGAGGTATTATAATACAACAAATTTTTACAAATATAGAAAGATGTATGTATATTATTTATAAAATATATTATATAATAAAAATTATATAATAAACTGGCGCAAGCTGCTCACCGATTGTTGCTCGTGCTGTTACGGGAAGTTTCCGAAAAATCCTCGTGGGAGGTGGATTCTCGTCTGAAAGGTGGCCTGTTGAGTCGATTGGGCCTATTGCTCTTGGTCAATGGACCTTTGTAGCCTGGCGCCCGCGTGTTGGGCGCATGTTGCTGCGGCAATTTGTCGTATGGCCTCGGAATCGATGCGGGCTTTTTCGGCCTAGTTCTATTGGACAGAGTAAAGCTGGGTCTACTCGTCGGGCTGATCTCTATCACTGTCTTCTTGTTGCTGGACACTGGGGGAAACGAGACGTATTCACTGAGGTCGTTCGATGGCGTGGGTGATGGCGAGTAATTCTGAAGTAAAATACCGTGGCTGGAGTCGTAGGCCAAGGTGGGAGTGTATTTGGTGATGTGATTGAGACCGACGGCCTTGTTGAAGTCCTGAAAATCATCCTTCTGTTCGTTGATTGTCGCGAAATCTGCTCCCGGGAACGTCTCCTTGGGCTTCATCGGGGGATCCTTTTGATGCGGAGGGAAGATCTCGCTGTAGCCGTGCACGTGGCAGCTGCAGCAAGTTGGTACTTTGAATATATCCATGTGTAGTCCTAGTTTTTGATCCCAAGTCAACAATCTGTGATAATTGTAGATTTGTACGCAGGAAGAACGGTAGTTTTCGGAAATAAACGAGCAGCTCGACTGTGGATTGCTGTAAAGAAACAATAAATATTATTAAAATTAATATATGTATTAAAAG